TATCCCGTTATTTTTATCAATGAGAGTTTTAATTATAAGAGTTCGTACCTGGAGCCTTAAAAAGGATTATACCATTTGTATATGAGAATTATAACAGAATAACAGAGTTGGAAGGGGCCTTGGAGGTCTTCTAGTCCAACCCCCTGCTCAGGCAGGAGACCCTATACCAGGGGTAGGCAACCTTGGCTCTTTTATGACTCGTGGACTTCAACTCCCAGAATTCCTGAGCCAGCATGGCTCAGCTTGGAAACCTCTCCCTTTCCTTTCAGCATGGCTGGCTCAGGAATTCTGGGAGTTGAAGTCCATGAGTCATAAAAGAGCCAGGTTTGCCTACCACTGCCCTATACCATTTCAGACAAATGGTTGTTCAATCTCCTCTTGAAAGCCTCCAGTGTTAGAGCATCCACAACTTCTGAAGGCAAAGCTGTTCCAGCGATTAATTGTTCTCACTGCCAAGAAATTTCTCATTATTTCTAGTTTGGTTTTCTCCTTGATTAGCTCCCATCCATTGCTTCTTGTCCTGCCTTCAGGTGCTTTGCAATTATACTGTTTTTCTAAATATCTAGAACATGTTCCTACCATTTACCCTTCAGTAAATTCCGTTGTCCTAAAATAGATTCACAACTTCTACCAGACTCGGTGCATGCCAGGACTGCCCTTCAAACAGTAGTATCTTCAAACAGTACCGTGTTTTCCCCAAAATAAGACCCAACTGGAAAATAAGCCCTAGCACAGTGGTTCTCAACCTTTTTAATGCCGTGACCCCCAACCGGTCGTAAGTCGAGGACTAAACCGGTCATAAGTTGAGGACTAAACTGGTCGTAAGTCGAGGACTACCCAACCGGTCGTAAGTTGAGGACTTTCCCTGCCCGGGAGCGCTGCGCATGCGTGGTTCCGCCCCCTGTGCCGGCCGAGGCATAGCTGGCAAGCGGCAGAGACGGAGCAGGCCGACCACCAGCTGGCCCAGCTCAAGGGAGGTAAGGCACCTGCTGGAAAAGGGAAAAAAATGGCGGACAAAAAAAATGGCGGACAGCCTTGCTTGGCGACCCCCGTGAAATGGTCGATTGACCTCAAATGGGGTCGCGACCCATAGGTTGAGAACCGCTGCCCTAGCATGATTTTTCAGTACGCTCATAATGTAAGCCCCACCCCCAAAATAAGCCCCAGTTAAGACGGGTGTATTTAGTATCGCATTTCCCTGAAAATAAGACCTAACAGGAAAATAAACCCTAATGCGTCTTTTGGAGCAAAAATTAATATAAGACCCAATCTTATTTTCGGGGAAACTGGTAATACTATGATCATGTTACCAACTACATTTGATGTGATTAGCCTCAAGTACAGTTAATATGATTCTTCTCCATTCATAAATGCATCTTTTTTCTCATCTGTCACATTAAAATTTGCAATTTTATAACAAGGTCTGCTGGTTTAGAGAGTGTACTCAACACTTTGGGAGGTATCAGGATGGACCCTTCAAATTCAAAGGGTCAAACCATCCTTGGAATGCACAGAAGAGAATAAGATATAAGGGCATCAACTCGGTAAGAAAAATATAGCTTTGCTTGAGGTTTCTAATCTGTGAGGGCAATACCCGCCTGCATATTGCACGTACCTATCTCTCCATTTTCCATATGCCTTATGTCTGGTCTTAACCGACAGTCAGTAGGAGCCAAGATATCTTCCATGCCCTTCTCCAATTCATTAAGAGTGACAGCAAAACTGGTGAAATTGTACATCTGAAAGCAGAAACAGGAATGTAAACACACGGCATGTAGTATATGTCATCTCCCTCTCTAAGAGCCTTGAGGGAGTTGGATGGCCCTATACATTTTCTTAATAAATGAATATTAACTATGCACATTTATTATCTGTTAAGACATAGGATAAAAATATTGTGCTCACTGAATTTATGAAGTGTATTCTACGAGGATCTGGGATTGCATCATTTTTGTTTACTGGATTACAATCTGGTACCTCTACTGGGTGGCTAGAGTTATTACACATGAATTTCTCAACCTATCAGCTTAACCTATCAACCTAACAACGTGGCACTTAATAAAATTAGTCCCTTGTCTCCCTCAATCTTTAATTTGGTTTCTTCTGTTACATCATCTATAAATTAATAAAGGCATAGTGGCACTCGGCACTGCATATAAATTGTTCTAATATGCCAATGTTATTATTATGGCTTTTCTTAATAACTATGTAATTGTATGTTCAAATGATACAGCAATATTTTACATTCTGATTGTGTTAGGAATTGCAGGAAGTCTAATCTGTTGCCTTTTCCATCTACTATATCAGTGGTGGCGAACCTATGGCACGCGTGCCAGAGGCGGCACTCGGAGCCCTCTTGGTGGGCACGCGTGCCGCCGCTGCCAGCAACTTGCGCAGGTCCATTAGGCTGCTGCTGCCGTCCGGGACGGCAGCCGCACCCAGCACAAAGGAGGCGAAGCAGCCAGCTAGCGAGCTCGAGTAGAGGTGATAGAGCACGCCCACACCCATCAAACCAAAGGCCACCCCGAGCAGGGAAAGCCGGATCTCCATCGGCGCCATGGCCCCTCAGTCCCAGCTAGGATTGCATGCCTCCCCGCCATCTATGCTGGGCCTCCTGCCCACCGCCCCACCCGCCAGAGACCCCCTGGATCTCCCCCAACCCTGCCCGGCCCCCACAGGCGTTCCCCCCATGAGCAGCATCGAGGTGGCCATGCCCACCCCAGCCATGCCCACCCAGTCTGCCGTGACAATCGCAGCCATGCCCACCCAGTGGGCCACACCCCCATGCCCCCCCTGAGGGCACCACAATGCCCTGGCACTTTGCGATAAATAAGTGGGGTTTGGGTTGTGGTTTGGGCACTCGGCCTCTAAAAGGTTCGCCATCACTTTACATCACTTTACATCACTTTATCCATATTAAGGGTGAACCATTGCAAAACCCTGAAGGACCATATTAGCGACAGATTGCCATGGAGAACACATATTTCGGTGAATGCTGAAAGGTGATCCTAACCCGATAGCACAAAATCAAAATATCTATAGACTACTATGGAAGAGATGCAACTTAATATCAATTCCATCCAAGTTGCAAGAAAACCCATGGCTAATAAGCAATTTTACAGCATCAGAATTAACACTTTTTCAAGTATTTTACAACTTCTGATCCTTTATTTTATTCACAGAACTTTTAACATTCTAAAAGGAAACACATAAAAGACGCCTAGAGAGCAGTTGGAGGACGTCCCGGACCGAATCCGACCGAACACAGGTAAGGAGTCATATTAGATCCTACCTTGTGGCGATGAGGGTGGCGAGGACTAACTACTACTCCACCCTCATTGCGTCATCAGATAATCGCCCAGCCTCCCTCTTCAGGGTGACCCGCTCCCTTCTCCAATTGGGGGGGGGGG